TTGTAATCTAAAAAGTTATTGTTTGTATCAATAACTATATGTGTATGGATACAAAAGATGCACCACACAAATTGCGGTACATTTGAAAAAACCATAAAATGTATAATACTTAAAATATGCGGTAACAAATAGAATTAGCCTCATCAATAATTAGTTTACTTGCATATTTTGATCTGGTGATACTCCTTTGTGGCTTAGTTTTTATTATTATTTATAAGTTAAACAAAGACTGGAAAATCAGTGCTAATAAAGTTTTTAACATTTGGTTTTTGATACCTTAATTTAAAACGGAACGTGATAAGCCTTTAACGAATTAAGAACTAGCAGTAATCAAAGCAAACAAACATGCAGGCTTATCTAATCAGGAAATTGCAAAAAAAATTAAAAGATCTCCAAAAGTGGTTAATAATAACTTCAAAATTGGCGGTAATTATGGATTTTATATCGTATTAAACAAGTTATTGTACATCGTGCTGCTGCTCAGCACATGATTTTTATCTCAAATTCGTGCTGATTTACAATTACTTGTATCTGTTCAACGTGTGAAACAAATCTTACAAGAAGATCCAAACACAGTTTGGAAAAAGCGTAAACTAAAACTACAATTTACTGGTCGTCATAAAGAAGTTAGATTATAATTTGCAAAAGAACACAAGTCTTGACAGAAAGAGTGGCATCAAGTTCTCTTTAGTGATGGAAAAAAGTTCAATGAAGATGGTCCTAATGGCTATCAATATTACTGGCACAATCTTCGAAAAAAGAAAGAAACTCGGATGAGTTGTAACTTTGGTGGTGGAACTGTTATGGTTTGGGGGGCTTTTATCTTGGCTGGAAAACATCCACTGACATGGATTTCAACAAAAATGAGTTCACAGGATTAATTGACATGTTAGAAATAAGTTTGCTTGAACATAATGATAAATTGATGGGTAAAAATTTAACTTTTCATCAATATAATGCTACTATCAAATCAAAGCTTACAAAAGCTTGATTTAAAGAAAAAAATATTAACGTAATGGAAAGGCCCGCATGTAGTCCAGATCTTAACCCAATTAAAAATCTATGGGGAATACTTTCTAGAAAAGTTTATGAAAATGTTAAGCAATTTAAATCCACCTTGGAGCTGAAAACTCGTATCAGAGAAGCTTGGAATGAAATATCTATGAAAATTATCCAAAATCTTGTGACTAGTATGTCAAATCGCATAGTTGAAGTCATTAAAAATTTACGAAGCAATACTAAATATTAAATGAGCGTAAAAACAAAATATTTTCTGTATTTTTTGTATATAACGTAAATGAGGCTAATTCTATTTTCTCAACAAATGGAATACTTTTAATTTTTTTCGCATTTGTAATTAATTAAACATATCAATTTATAAACTTTTTAGTTGTAGCAGAATATAAGAAGAAATAAATTAGATTTAATTACTGTTTCACTGCCATATTTGTTAAATTAAAACAAAAAATAAAGGTGAGGCTAATTATATTTTCTCCGCTGTTTAAGAAAACTAAAAAAACGAGACGGAAATGAGCTAAATTGAACAAGAATTACCCCCTGCAGCAATTTTTGACGAAAAGTACTTATTATTGGGAGCGCAAATTTTACATAAAACTTTAATTAGAAGTTACAAAATTAAAGCAAATTAGGTAATACCTAATATATATACACACTAACGTGAAGTGAAAATAACTTTTTTTAAAAATTCCGTTTTTCAAATTTCTATATTAGTTATAAGAAAAATATATAATTGAGACTAATATGAGTAAAATCGGACAAGAATTCCCCCCTGTAGCAATTTTAGGCAAATTTTCAGAATTTTCTATATTTTAAATTTTTTATTGCAATTATTGATTCGTAGTATTACTTTCGAAATTATAATTTCTAGTTTATTTACATGTTATTTTAAAGGAGTTGAAAAGGTGAATTTATTACATAGTATTAATATACCAGCGAAAATATTACTAGATAGTGTTATAATGTGCCTATGTGGTTTATCATCAAGACTCCTTCTTGATATAACCACATAGGAGCAAAAACGTGCATTATGTATGTTGCTATAGTTACTAAATTTAATGGAGGACTAGTGGTAGAAATATATAAACTGAAGACATTGTTGGCAGTGGTGAGCCATATAGAATGAGCCAATTTTCCAGGGTTGCACTTTTCCAAATTAACAGAACAAGTGCCACATAGTACAGCTTAGCAGATATCGAAAAAGTAAAGCTGATTTTTACTGACCACTTTTCTGTCTCCCTCTGGCATTTCTATATTATGGTTTATAAGTTGAAAATCAACAACCTTACAAGGTTGATAATTTTCTACCTATAAGCCATATAAACTCACAAGTTTCAAGGGACTTTCTAATAGAATCTGAATATTATCTAGGAACAATTGTTGGTTCATCCGATTTTGAAAACAAACGACGTAGTGGAAGCTCATTTGCATGTAACAAACAAATTACCCACTGTAAGGGTCGTTGGAGTTCTAACTTAATCAGTCTAATTATTCCACCCTTGTTTCCAATGTATATATTTGTTCCATCCCACCCAAGCATTTATTAAACATCCAAAATGATATTATATTTTTTAGAGTATTTATTAATTTGAGATTTTATAGGTTCCGCTAAGAGGAATACAGTGTTTCAAAAAACCCCCTCCAGGTTCTTGAATCAAGGATATGTGCTCTTCCATTACTAGGGTTTTCTTCTTAATAAAAAATTTAATGTCACGGTCTTAATTTGCCATCAAATTTTAACGCCTTTACTTTGACTTCACTAACTTTCATGTTGTCTCTGACTTTCATGCGCCCACGTCTCATACTATCCGGTCAATAACATATTTTTGGTCATCATTTGAAATAATGCCAATATCTTCAAGTACAGTTGATACCAAAGCTGCAGCAGATCTGTTTAAGAGTCCATGGCGGTCGCAAACTAATAAAAGAGAAAGGATATATATATATATATATATATATATATATATATATATATATATATATATATATATATATATATATATATATATATATATATATATATATATATATATATATATATATATATATATTTAGGGTCTGCGTCTCAGAACGGTACAAAATGAAACGAAACAAAACGATGAAAAATATCGTTTCGATAAAACCGTTACGAAACGAAACAATTTTTATCTTTTTTCGCAAAATACGGTACGAGAAGAAATACAATTTTCTGGTTTCGTGATAAATACGGGACACATTTTTTGTTTTGAAAAAACAGGTACGAAGCGAAATAAGATTAAACTTTTTCCGAAATAAAACGGTAAAAAACGAAACAAACAAACAAGAAATTTCTGAGTTTTACGAGAAATACTAATGTTTTTACGACAGATAGGGCTAGCATAAAATAAAAAAATAATTTACTTTTATATTGTACCAATTTAAGCACACATTTGCGATTTTTACTGTCTGAGTGGAAAGACTGTGTCTTTTATCATTTATAATTCCATCGCTGGCGCTGAACACTCTCTCACCACAGCTTGATGCAGCTGGAATGCAGAGCAAATTTCTTGCCAATTGTGCTAACAATGGCAAAGTAGAGGCATGTTTCTTCCACCATTTCAGCACATCAACTTTATGCTTTTCTTCAACACGAGGCATAGCGTGGAAAGATTCAAACTCCCTTTCAATTTCCGGTACATTTTGACTAATGGTGTGGTTATTATTACCCTGTTCAATCTCAATATTTTGTAAATCGTCGCACTCATCCACACCAACTGGCATTTTAACTTGTGTAGCTTTATGATTATTTTTTTCACTGATCGAAACAGCGTCCGACGATGGATGATTGTTGATGACTTTTCTGGTGAACTCTTCGAAGGTATCGTAATGTCTAAGCATATATCCTGAAATCATAAACAATAACTGTTAAATTTAGTCTTTTAACAAATAAAGAATATTAAAGAATGTTTTTTTTACCAAGAAATAAAACTTATAACTTCTAAAGTACGGATGAAGAAGGTTTCCCAAGGCATAGTGTTGGTTGTATCTTCCATGTCCATTGAATCGCGTGGCTAGGTGTAAATGCTCACTTAGTTTTTTACAAAAAGCATTAACTATTTCTCTGTTTTCCATATCAATGTGGTCATGAAGAAAATTTTCAGTTTTATAAAGCATAGTTAGCATATGATGAAGCACTGGTTCAGTGTCCTTGGACATGCAATCTGACATAACCTTCATTTTTTTTAAGACTGGCATCAGTGAAGCCATCAGCGAAAATTGGTTGTCACTTGGAATAACGTTCGGTAGTGGGTTGTTATTTAGTGCATCTTTTTCTCTAAGAGAAATCAACACATCTTTAAGTTTAAGGATTGACTCCAGCATAAAACAGTTAGAATTCCACCTGGTTTTTACCGGAGCAATGATTTTAACATAGTTTACACGGAGCAACATACACTCTTTTTCAATAAGTTGACAAGCTAAGGTGGATCTGTGGACTTTGCTAGATAGTTGTGTGGCAATATCTATGCATTCTTTGACTTCTTGCACTTCATTGGTAGCATGTAGTAGGTTAGTGTTTAGTAGGTGGTCTGCACACAACAGTGATTCATATTTTGTTTTGTTCATGATTGACACAGCATGTTTCATGTTTGCCGCCGCATCGTGGACAATGACTTTCTTGGGCACGGCGTCCAATACCGGATATTTTTGGATCATTTCTTCCAGAGCCTTAAACAAGAATGAAGAAAAATTAATGATTTATAAGATAACTTATGCAGCTTTTAGGTTTTACAATAAATTATAAATTCTTTCAATAATTGACAAAATCCTAGAAGAAACGCTATTATAGCAGAAGGATAAGTTATACTTTTTTAAATTATTTTTGCACTTACAAATTTATATTTACGAGAACAAATTATATCAACATAAGAAAAATTACTTTGCTAATGTGGTAACCAGTGTGTCTTCCCACGAAATTGTCAAAGTTGAGAACATATTTTTTCAGTTCAAACTGACTATTGATATAGTTAAGCGTAAGAGTCATGTATGGATCCTGTGACCTAGAGGTCAAACCATCAGTGGTGATAGCCACTTGTTGACAAGTGGAAACTTCTTTTTCAATTAGGTTTTGCACAGTATCCATAACGCTTTCATAAAGCAATGGCAGCTTGTTCCTTGAAAAAGTCGAGGAATGTTTCACAATTACTTTTGAATTTAAACGTTCCACCATTTCTTTGAAGCATGGTTCATCTACTAGAGTGAATGGACTACTTGACCTGGCAATGTATGACATGATTACCATGTCTGTCTCCAATTGCCTGCCTGATTGGGAAGAATATTTCCCAATAGTTCCCCCATTAACACATTTAGATAAGCCTTTTTGTGATCGTTGATCTAAAAAAACGAAATAAAAATTAAAGTTAAACATGAAAATTATCTTTATACAAGGAAAAACATTATTTTATGAAAAATAATTAGAAACTTACTGTATGCGTCATTCAGTTCGAAGGCAGCTTCTGTAATTTCTTTAATATCTTCTTCTCTTTGGCGCTCAAGTTCAATTTGGGCTCTTAACATCGTAGCGTAGTCAGTGGGATGCTTTGTTTTCAGATGGTACCTGATACCACTAGTGGATCCATCAGTTAACTTGATTTGGACTTAACACCTGACACAGTAACTTTATTGAAATAATTCCATAAAATTGTAGCTTTTATAGGCATGATTATATGATTGAGAATTACTATGGTTTTTAAACAATAAATTAATTAGTTTTGCAAAATATTTCAAGTTAACACAACAATATCGCATTTAAAATGTTATATAATATAATTTGAAGTATTTAATTCAAACAATGATTTCAAACTCTTCATGCGAGTTTATAAACAAATACATAATTTATGTCTGATGAACTTAAAGTTAAAATTTTATTACAGTAAAACGGTTTTACTGTAATAAAATTTTAACTTTAAGTTCATCAGTTTTACTAAAACCTACCTACAGAAGACAATATCTTTTTTTAACTTCGTTAAATGCGCTAAGCCTTATGAAAATGATGCTATTGCATTGCTTTGTTAATACATTTTTTTAGTTAAACTTTGATTTACGAAACATTGAGTTAGTAAGTATTAAACGTAAAAGTTTATTTATTGCTCGAGGGCATGGGAATCATAAAATATCTGTTTGGGCGGGGAGTTATGAAATATACCGTAAAAACCGATAAGAAACGAAACAATTTTATTGCGTTTCGTAAATAACGGTACGAATCGAAAAAATAATTTCACGTTTCGTAACAACAAGATACGAAACGAAACAAGATTTACGTGTTTCGTATAAATGCCATACAAAACAAAATGATATTTTTTGTTTCGTAAAAACGGAACGAAACGAATACTCACATTTTTTACCGTTTCTCACCAAACTTCCGAGAGAATACGAGCAGACGCAGACCCTTAATATATATATATATATATATATATATATATATATATATATATATATATATATATATATATATATATATATATATATATATATATATATATATATATATATATTATATATATATATATATATATATATATATATATATATATATATATATATATACAGAGAGAGAGAGAGAGAGAGAGAGAGAGAGAGAGAGAGAAAGAGAGATGGATAGATAGATAGGGAAGGTTGTGCGTGTTCAGCATTTTAACAGTGTATTGTCTTTTTGCAGCCGAAATATTATAATATTTATTTTTATTTTTTCAGATTATCATAATTTATTATTTCCTCTTAAAGAAAATAAATAAACAGTTTATTAAAAAATATTTTATACCAAAAATCCCGTTATTTTCAATACACCCAACCATCTCATCTTCGGAAATCAGTTTCCTAAGATCAGCTTTTTTTGATGGAACTCAAAAAACTTAAAAATCAATTATCTCAACGATAAAAAAACAAAAAAAAACAATAGTTAATTTTTCCTATCTCTAAACAAGTTAACGATACTATTTTTTGAAAAAATTTTTGATCTTGAAATACCAAAATAAAGCTCCGCGGAGATTAAAAAAACAGACTTTTATTAATAAAAAGCCGCTTCTCATCTAAAACGTATTCACTTCGCTTCTAAAAACGTATGATCTTCTGCAACTTCACAAAGTACTATCATTATTTAAATAGCATGACAACTGCATATGTATTATCTCACATAGCCCATGGAATTAGCAATAGATAAGCATAAAATATTGAAGTTGTAACAAATATTTGATGATTGTGTTTCGTTCTGACGTAATTACTAAATGTTGAATATTGAAAATTCATATCGGGGATGGTAAACTTTTTAAAATTAAAAAAATCAATGCATATTACCTATACAACAAGAAATTAAAACAATTAACACCTTCAAACTTGTATGAATATTCTTAACGAAAAAAGTATGTGAAAAAATCATTAGTCTACCCGCAAAAGAGGTTACATCATCTTAGGAACCTGCTTATTTTTCGCAACCTTTCCCTATACTTTTTTTTTTAAACATTATTTTAAAAACTAGTAAGAATTTTACTAATATTTAAAGTATTTACAAAAAGTTACAAAACTGCACTATTAATCATAGATTTGTAACATTTGTTTAAATGCAGTTTATAAATTATCACAAACAAAAATCACGCACGGAAGTTGGATTTTGTCGACAAATTGCAACTTCATGTAGTTATTTTTATAAAAATAAATTGCTTGTGAGCATTTTAAGTGAAAAATTAGACTTCAACTACTCAATACATAATTTTGATGAGAAATGGCAGTTATCAAATAATTCTAGCTAGAGCATTAATCTATAATAATATATATTAATAATTTATAATAATATTACGGATAAATCTTTATTTTTGTTTACAAAAGTTGTTTTTAACGTTTTATCTGATTATTTAACTGTTTGAATTTTTAATTATTATATATACTCTTTATATATTATATGTTGAATATAATATCTTATATTTAATTGGAAATTTGTATTTGAATATCTTCTTTTATAACTTTTTGTGACTATTAGTGTTTATTAATATTATATCTTTTTAACTATTTGTATCATATATATATATATATATATATATATATATATATATATATATATATATATATATATATATATATATATATATATATATATATATATATATATATATATATATATATATATATATATATATATACATATATATATATATATATATATATATATATATATATATATATATATATATATATATATATATATATATATATATATATATATATATATATATATATGTATATATATATATATATATATATATGTATATGTATACGTGTATGTGTGTATATGTATATGTGTATGTGTATATATGTTTATGTGTATGTGTGTTTATATGTTTTTTAATGTATGTATTTTAATGTATATATTGATACATCTTCTTTTTTCTTTATTCTTATTCTAAAATATTATATCTTTTTTTTTACTATTTCTTTTTTTTCCTAAATTTTTTACTTGATTTATTAACCATATATTACCATATATTATTGTTATGATGTGTAGAGGCTCTATGAAAAGATTAGGTTGGTATTTTGCCATCCATATCTTCTTTGAGCCCCTGTCTGTTTACTGGCCCTGTCCGTTTATTTGTACATTTGTAATTTATATTTTATTTTTGGTGAAAGGAAGTTGTAATTTATATAAACAGCAAAATAAAATAAAATAAAAAAAGTATAGCGTTTTGAAAATTATTGTATACTTTTCAAAGTACTGCATTATTACTAAGCAAAATAAATAAATAAAAAAATAAATAAGATAAAATAAAATGATAGAAATATATATACATTTAGTTTATTTAGATGACCCAAATTCGATAAAAATATTTTTTTTATAATTGTTTTTTATTAGTGTGCATATTGCTTTAAGTCCCACCTTCTACTTGTTAAACAAAGAAAAGCAAAAAATCATTCACAGAAATGGAAACTCTTATTATATTTGATTATTATTAATTAAATTGTTATTTACTTTTATATGTTTTTTATTTATTTAAATTTGATAGTTTTTTTGCTCTACATTCGTTATTTATTTAGGTTTTGTTATGTTCGATTATTATGAAATTGTTTGCATTTGCATTTGTTTTTATTAGTTCGATTCAATCGATTATGTTTTCAATTATATTTTTTGTTTAATTATATATTTTTTTTTTAATTTTTTATTACATTTATTTATTATTATCGTTTTATTAGTTTGAATTTAATGGTTATGCAACTTGTTAAACAATTAACTAATTATAATAGTAATTATACAAACTATTGCTCTAATTTTGGTAATTACTTGGTTAGGTTTAATTTGTGCTTAGAAAAGTTGAATCATGAAATATGCAATAGTTTTATTATTCAAAAACTACTAATTACTAGAAATAGAATATTATATTCTAGATCAAAGGACCTTTATTGTGAGTGGGCAAAACATTTGCAAGCTTCCAATATGATGGAACTTAACCAAAAACCCAGAAATAGAGCATGTAAATAGTAGTGATATTGGCCTATTGAAACTAGCTGAGCAACTTTTTAAAACATACACGAGAGTACCATCAGTACCAGTCTAGAGAAGTAACATCAATGATAAGCTTAGGTTTTTTTAAATCAAAGAACCGATGACTGCACCCCTCCCCTCCTTTTTTTTTTTTTAAAGATCTTTTTTTTTAAAGAAATTTCTAAATATAAAAGACTTTTTCTAGAAACTGACGATTGTGCCTTTCCACTTTAAAACCCGTGTCGTTGGCCCTGCTATTTAGGTCAAATAGAGAAAGAATTTCTCTTTTTGAGAACTATAACTTAGTTTTCTCTACAATTATTTTTTATTTTTATCTTTCTCAGTATAGTAAAAATTATTTTTATTACATTTGTTGTGGTTTAAAATAATTTTAATATTTCAGAAAAACTAATTCAAATTTAATCTATAAAGTCGAAAGTACATTATACAACAGTTTGTTATAGAATATTTATGGGGTTGTTATTATCAATCTAAAGAAGTTGTTGATCTCGTAGCACCTATATATATATATATATATATATATATATATATATATATATATATATATATATATATATATATATATATATATATATATATATATATATATATTTTTGATTGATTTAAAAGATATATATATATATATATATATATATATGTATATATATATATATATATATATATATATATATATATATATATATATATATATATATATATATATATATATATATATATATATATATATATATATATATATATATATATATATATATATATATACATATATATATATATATATCTTTTAAATCTATCAAAAAAATATGCGACAACAACTGGGTTTCTAGTGAAAAGTTTTATTCGTTAACTTTTTTCATAAAAAGTGTTGTGCTTAAAGATGGTTTTCCACTCATCCGTTTTTTTTACGGGAACGGGATAGGTAAAAGGAAAATATACACGTATAAAAAAAGAATTTCAAATATAATATTTCGTTTAATAACTCGTCTAAAAACTTTTTTTAGACGAGTTATTATACGAGATATATATACGTCATATATATACGAGAAAATATTATAATATTTTCTTGTATATATATCAGTTAATATTAACTTATGAAATTTGAATAAAAATAGTA